CTCTCTCTCTCTCTCTCGCCCCCCCCACCTCCCTTTCCCTCAGCTGCTCCTCTGTCTACTCTCTGCTCTCCTTATTGACAGCACATCCTTCCCTCTCTTTTCTGTCTCTCCCTTTGTTCCTTTCCTCTCCCTCTTCTTCCTTCTCCCTTGACCAGTTCCCGTCAGTGTTGTATGAGAGTGCCCCTCTCACCACCTCTTGCCAGCATTAAATATTATAAAGTGTTTAGGTTTGTAATTTTCTAGGAAAATTGTACCTTGCATTTCTTTAATAACTAGTTAGTTGAATACTTCCTTTATATGTATATTGGCCATTTAAATCATATATATTTACATATATATATATATACACACACACACATACACACATATATGTATGTATATCTTTAATGACTTTCTTAGACCATCACAAAACAAAGAGAAATGTGGCCTATCTTTTATGATTTATGAAGTTTATTATAATTTTGATGGTTTTACCATTTTTCCCAATTCAGTTTTTTTGCTCCTCTAGGAGTTAAGGAGGAACATGGGACCTGCCACGTGTACTTCCTGAAAGGCTCAGGGAGTGACAGAAAAACTGACATGCCTAACACTAAATGCTAAAAAATGTTGTTGTTTAGAGAAATGCATAGTAAAACAGCAATGAGATATCAGTTTCCAAATGTGATCAGCAGATATTAGATGCTGGACAATATTGAGTATTGGTGATTATGTGGGCACATCTGATCCCACAAACACTATTATGGGAACTTAGACCCATTCCACAATTGAACACAATTTAACGCACACCTCATGGCCCAGCAATTCTGCTCCAGGTAGAACTTCTCAGGGAAACTCTCAGGTCAATAATGGGACTATCTGAGGATGTTCACTGCAATGTTGGAGGCCACATGGGCACCCATCCTTGGGAGACTGGAGACTAAAACATTATGGGTGCCCACCATGGATGCCAGGCATCAGTCAGAAGCAACAGACTAGACTCACACAGAGCAACGTGGGTGAACCTTAAAAATAAGTACTTACTGAAAAGAGTAAGAAATAGGGTGGGATATATATATACACCACAATCCTATTTGCATAAATATAAGACACACATACAGAGAGAGAGACACACATATGCCAAAAAAATTAAACCCACATGATTTTGAATACATTACAATGATTGCCCTAGAGGAGAAGGGAAGGGGTAAGGAGTATTGAAATAAAAGGGAATAGATACATGCATAAAACAAGAGCAGTGCCAATGACGATAGTGTGCAATGAGCCAGAGTACGATTAGCTCAGTCTGCACCAGAGGCCTAGAGGAAGAAAGAAGTGAGGAAAACCAAGAGCACTAGGAGAAGTCACATAGGTTAAGCCAAGTCCCAGTTAGCAGACCCCACCCCTCCACCTTGTAGTGGTTGTTCAGGACCATGGAGAGCTGCTCCATACCCCTGCCCAACTATACGCTGTACATACAGTACTGATGCCTCTACCGCTTTTCTCTCTCCTGTCCTCCTTCCCTCTGACTGACTCTCTTCTCTCTATTTTTCTTTCCAGTGTCTTCTCTGCCCCTCTTCCTCATGCTCTCCCCACCTGCCTTGCTCACCTTCCTTCTCCCTTCCTCTCCTACCAAAGGGGCTCCCTCTTCCTTCCCTGACTCCCTTCCCCTCTGCCTCACAACCTTCCTCACCACCTCCCTCCCAAACTTCCCACCCTGGTCAGCTCTGAGCCCCATCGCCCCCCATGCCCTGCTCCGCTCCATCCCCTCTGCACCTGAACTAACTGATGTTAACCCTCTTCTCTCTTCCTCACGGCTGGCAGGCCCACAGGTTTGAGCTCTGTTTCTCTGTCACTTCCCACCTCATCTCTTCTCTGCTTCACCCCATTGCCTTCCTCCATACCCACCGCACCCCCACCACCCTTCCCATCCTGTGGGGCCAGGCCAAGGCCGTGGCCCAGCCTTTGCAGACTGAATGCAGCCATCCTCTCCCCATCCTCGCTCCCCAGCCTCGGGACGGGGAGCGAGAGTAGGAAGAGGAGGAGGAGGAGGCAGCGGCCCAGGGTAAGTGACCTCCCCATGGCTGGAAACCGAGGAGGACAGAAGCCCAGCAGGGGGACCTGCCAAGGGGGAAGGGAATCCCAGAGACCTCAGGGCCTGAGAGGGAGCTGGAAAGGGGGAGAGGAGGTTCCACCCTGGATGAGGCGGATGGGAAGAGGAGCACCAGGTCCTCCAAAAGGCAGGGAGCAGAGAGGGCCCAATAGAGCAGCCCCTGCATCAGCTCGACTAGATCTGTCCAGTGGTTGGGAGTGGGCAGGGCTCTGAGCGGCAGTGGGAAGGTGAAAAGAAAACTCCTCGCTGGTTCTAACATAGGGCTGCGCTCCTCTCCACCACTGGTCCAAGTCACTCCCTACTTAATGGAGGCAAAGGAGGAGTCCTGACTGTCCAGGCTGTCCCATTGCTGTCCCCTCCAGAGCACCCCCTCAGCAGTTTAGCGGCCTTGAACTTTCGTTATACTTGATCTCTGTAGAAAACAAGCATTCTTTAAGTAGAGATAAAATACACGTAACAAAAGTCACCATCTTAACCATCTTTAAATGTAGAGCAGTGTTCAGTATACTCACATTGTTGTGGAATACAAAGCATTTTTAAACAAGCAATTACATGTCATTCTCTGTGTGCCAGGCACTGTTCTAAGCCCTTTACTCCTTTCATTGTTATAACCATCCAAATGTGGTAGGTACTGTAATTATCCTGATTTTACAAATGAGGAAACAGGGGTGCAGAGAGGTTAAATAATTTGCCCAAGTTCGCCATCTAGAAAGCAATGAGTGACGTGCCCTACCTTGCAGGGGGCTGTGGCCTCATCCCAGCCAAAGATGAGATCAGCAAGAACAAGGTCCATCGGGGACCCTTGCCCTCGGTGGGGATTGAGTGGGTTGGCCAGGAGTACCCCCTAGGAGGCACAGATTTTAGGGGGTTCCCCTCAGGCTGAACCTGACCTGATCTGGTCTACAGGGTCTGTTTTGGTGAAGTCTCCCCTGAACCGGGAGCTGGTTGCCACCTATGAGGTCACTCTCTCGGTGATTGACAATGCCAGCGACCTACCAGAGCGCTCTGTCAGCGTGCCAAATGGTAAGGTTCCCCACAGGCACCTCCCATTGGTTATTCGGAGCTGATCTGGGCAGGAGGGGCAGGCTGGGAACAGCAAAGGCTTGGCCCAGGAAGGAAGCAGCAGGACCCAGAGGGATGTGAAAGGTGGCAGCTACAGTGAGGCCCAGGATGGCCGTGTGTCCCCGTTGTTAGGCAGAGCTCAGCAGTAGGGGATCCAGAAGCCAAGAATTGGGGGATTCATGAAACCCACAGCTCAGAGTGAGAAGGAGGCTTGGTGGAGGCTGGACGGGAACTGAGAAAAGGATGGTTAGAGACTTAGGTCGGAATTCATTATCAGAACTGGTAACGAGGATGTGAGACAGGAACCCCAGATCTGATAGGAAGCCACAGGGTCCTAGGAAGGAAAGCACAAGGGAAGGTGATGGAAGCCACAGATACCATATTGGGGTGCACGGCCACCATGGCAGAGAAGAGAGGGGAACAGTTGCTGCCTTCTGCAGGCCGGCACAGGCCATCTTGCCCGCCGCCTGGGGCATGAGCTGTAACGGGCTGCTAGAGGCATGTCTGCAATGTCTGCTTATCTTTATTGCCCAGAGGACCAAGTTTTCAGGAAGGAAGGGCAGACATGCTCACCTACATGTCCCACACTCAGAGGACAAAGGGCTGGTCCTAGAGAGGTCATGACTCAGGAAGCAGAAGGCTGAATCATGGAAGGGCCTCATGGGACAGGTTAGGACACTAAGGCACAGTAGGCCGGGGGCTCCACCAAGGTGACTCAGCGGGTGGTAGAACCCAAGCTCCTTTCCTTATGGAAGAATGAGACCAGGCCAGGGCCAAGGGTCACGACCCACCACTCCAGCGTGGGTCAGGCTACAGGGCTCCCAGGAGGGCTGTGAGGTGCTGCCATCCTCTCCACGCATAGCTGAGGCTTAGGAAGGCCCAGCCATATTGGTGTCCCTCACGGCACCCTCACCCCCTGCCTTCACCCCAGCCAAGCTGACAGTCAACATCCTGGATGTCAATGACAACACGCCCCGGTTCAAGCCCTTTGGGATCACCTACTACACAGAGAAGGTCCTGGAGGGGGCCACTCCCGGCACCACGCTCATCGCTGTCTCAGCTGTGGACCCCGACAAGGGCCTCAATGGGCTGATCACCTACAGCCTGCTGGACCTGATGCCCCCAGGCTACGTTCAGCTGGAAGACTCCTCGGCAGGTAGGGCTGGGGGACAGGTGTGCCTGTTACCCTCCCAGGGGGACCATGGCCCACTTCTCACCCTCCAGTTGTGGCCCCACCATGGCCCCTCAATGGGCTGGGCCAGAGCCAATATGGCCAATGTTCCTGCCAGATTCCCAGACTAGAGGAAAGGACAAAATGCTTTGTCCTAGGTTGGGATGGAAGGCTCCTTTTAAGGTCTGCTGGAAACCTGGAATATTCCACCACCATCTCTCTCCACCACCCAAGCTTTCACTACAGCTGTCCCTTGGTATCAAAGGGGCATTGGTTCCAGGACTTCCCCAGAGGTACCAAAATGTATGGATGCTCAAGTCCCACAGTCAGCCTTCCATCCATATACACAGTTTCATATCCACAGATTCAGCCAACAGCGGATTGAAACCTGAGGTTGTGGAGGGATGACTATGTTAGTATCACTTAGGAAGAAGGCCAAGAGGGAGTATCTCAGAGGAGGCCCTGGGCATGTTGATATCCATCTATTTGACATGTGAAAAGCTTTCCCGCCCCTCCAGGAAAGAGAACAGCTGGATACCAGTTGCTCTCAGCCCTCTGACCTGCCACTGGGCAGGGCTGACTGACCATCCTCCTCCTTCAGGGGACCACACCTGCCCCTCAGAGCTCTAGATCCTTCTCTTCATACTGTGGAGAGCTTTGTAAGTGAGGAATGGCCAAAATGGCGCTGGGTGTGCCTCTGTGTCTTAGGGAAGGTCATTGCCAACCGGACGGTGGACTATGAGGAAGTGCACTGGCTCAACTTTACTGTGAGGGCTTCAGACAATGGGTCCCCACCCCGGGCAGCCGAGATCCCTGTCTACCTGGAGATTGTGGACATCAATGACAACAACCCCATATTTGACCAGCCTTCCTACCAGGTGGGTGGCCAGGCCTGGTGGGTCTCGGACCTGTGCCCATGCCTTGGGGCAACCCCATATTTGACCAGCCTTCCTACCAGGTGGGTGGTCCATGCCTTGGGGTCTTTGGTCATCTTTCGCTACCACCCGACCAGCTTCTAAGCCTCATGGTAGTGACCGCCCCATGAGCAGCTTGATGCCCTGGGTTGTCTGTATCAGTGAGTTCCTAGCGCAGGGCATGGACTGGAGGACTAACGTTGGCTGCTCTCTCCCCCTGCCCATCGGGCTCCAGGAAGCCGTCTATGAGGATGTGCCCGTGGGCACAGTCATCCTGACGGTCAGTGCTTCTGATGCCGACTCAGGCAACTTTGCCGTCATTGAGTACAGCCTTGTGGATGGAGAGGGCAAGTTTGCCATCAACCCCACCACGGTAAGCGGGCAATGGAGGGCGAGGGTTTGGGAGTGGGGAGTGCAGTGGGCCCAGGGTCACAGGCTGAGAAGCCACCAAAAGTATTGCGGTTTCCCCGTGTCTGGGTCCTGCCGCCTGGAGATCTGTAATCTCCGAGGTTTTTAGCTCAGTCAGCCCTGTTCTCAGAGTCCCAGACATCCTGTAGACTGAGGCCTTTCTGTCCCAGCAGGCGTGGAGGAAGTGGCCAAAATCTTTGGGAACTAGCCCTTTGTGGGACAAAAACTTCTGCTCTGTGTCCCCAGCAGACCAGCAAACTTGATTCGAGTCCGTGTGACCACTTTTTGAAACTGTCCAAAGAGAGGCATAGGCAGCCCTGCAGACAGTGAGCACAGTGTTTGAGCGCCTCCTACTGGTGTATATGTGGCCCTGTTCCCAGTACCTCCCCCACACTCCTAGGAGTCTCAGACTGTGGGAGAGCAGAAACTCAAGAGAAAGGAGGGGTGATGGTTTCAGATGTCTGCAAATGGGCTCCATGCTGCTATTTCAGCACAGAAAGAGCCCTGTGGCCGAGGGGTGTTTGGTCAGCAGGGCCCTCCCCAGTTGCTGGGCTGGACCTGGACTTCCCCTCCCCACTGCCCCCACTCCTGCCCACATCCCCTCATTCTGCCCTCTCAGCAGGGTTCTCTTCTTCCTGCTTGGTGTGAGCAATCAGGCATGCTCCTGGCCTGGCACTATGAACAGTGAATATCTATGGCACACGACCATATACCTGGCCAGGTAGTGCGCTCCAGCCTGGGCTGTTGTCCCTCTCCAGGTGGACTGGGAAGTGAGGGCTAGAATGAGACCTCCATAGGGTCAGGGGCTGTTGTCTCTTCTGCTCAGCGCCGTATCTCCAGAGCCCACAGCAGGTCTGGCACACAGTCGATGCTCAGTAAATATCTGCTGAACAGATGAAGGCCCTGATTCCATCCTCCTCCCCTTAGGGCGACATCTATGTGCTGTCCTCCCTGGACCGGGAGAAGAAGGACCACTATATTCTGACTGCCTTGGCCAAAGACAACCCTGGGGATGTAGCCAGCAACCGTCGAGAAAATTCAGTGCAGGTGAGGGGTGCCAGGCTAGGCCAGCGACTCCGGGGACTGGGGCTGTGGAGGCAGCAAGAAGAGCCTTTAGAGCTTGACGACTGAAGAGCCAACTGTTCCCCTCAGAGACGTGGTGGCAGGAAGGAGAAGGCAAGAGCTTAGCCGGGTGGGTCACAGTGGCTGTGGCTGAGGGAGACGGGGACTCTGGCAGAAATCTCTTGTGCCAAACCTCTGCTGAGGCAGAGGGACATGCCTGGGTGTAACCCGGATAAAGCCGGGGCTCACAGAGTGCCCGTGTGTCCCATGGAGGGATCCCATGGAGGGAAAACCTCTGCTGAGGCAGAGGGACATGCCTGGGTGTAACCTGGATAAAGCCGGGCTCGCCTGGCCCAGGGTGCCCGTGTGTCCCATGGAGGGAATCACAGTCTGGCCACCAAGCATAATTATAAGGTAGTTTTCTTTATTTGTGTTTTCTAAAGAACATTAACAAGGAACCAGATTCACAACCCCAGGTCCAGCGTCCACACAGATGCTCTGAGGCCAGTGGCTCACCTTCTAAGCTCTACCCCATTCCTACCCCAAATCCTACTCCATGAGGCTCTGCTTTCTCTTTCTTTCTCCCCCTTCTTTCTGCCTCGTCCAGTCATGTCCTTCTGCATTCAGCTCTCCCCACAGTAACCTAACTAACCATCCAAAAATCTCCCCGGGGTGAGGAGCTGGTGGGCAAATTCTCTTAGCATATGGGGGAGGGGCTGGGAGCACTCACGACATCGGAATCCTGCCCCTGGTCACATAGCCACGTGCTGTGTAGGGAGGAGCACAGGACTTGGAGTCAGAAAACGCAGGTTGCCTCCCTCCAAGGGCAGTGGTGAGTCGGGGGGAAGAGGGGAAGGGAGGGTCTCCTGGCCTGGTGTGTCCGTGGGACCCACCCTGGACGGTGGGGTCAGCAGAGAGAGCCAAGTCCCAGGCCAGATACAATCCCAGCCAAGAGGGAGCCTTCGGGGGTGGAGGACTCGCATCCAGCATTACGGTCCCGAGATTAGAGTGCGAGGTGTGGGCACTGAGGGAAGGAGCAAAGGGCAGAGGAGGTGGGGGCAGGAGGGCTTCCTGCCTCAGGGCCCAGACACAGAGTACCTGCTCCTCACATACCAGCTGCTGAGCGTTTCCTCAGGCCGGGCACTGCCCACCATCACAGCCTGGAACGCACTGTCACCGGGAGCCTCACAACCCCTGAGAGGGAAGATATATTGTCCCCAAAGTACAACTAAGGAAATTGAGGCTCGGGGTTCAAATAAATTGTTTGAGGTCACACTGCAAGAGTGGGCACTGTCCACCTCTGCTTACTCCTCTGTGACTGGGTCACCTGAAGTAGCTCCCAATATGCCCCGACCTTTGATCTCAACCTCCCCCTCACCCCACCCCCAGGTGGTGATTCAGGTGCTAGACGTCAATGACTGCCGGCCACAGTTCTCCAAGCCCCAGTTCAGCACGAGCGTTTATGAGAATGAACCAGCGGGCACCTCGGTCATCACCATGATGGCCACCGACCAGGATGAGGGCTCCAACGGGGAAGTGACCTACTCCCTTGAGGGCCCTGGTGAGGGTACGTAGCCGGCTCCTTACCTGTGATGCCATGGCGGGGGCGGGGGAGAGGGGAGTGGCAGGCTGCCATGGAAGGAGGTCTCAGCCAGAGACATGCCCTGCTCTCTGCCACCCCCTGCCAGAGGCCTTCCACGTGGACATGGACTCAGGCCTGGTGACCACAAAACGGCCATTGCATTCCTACGAGAGGTTCAACCTGACCGTCGTGGCCACCGATGGCGGAGAGCCCCCGCTCTGGGGCACGACCATGCTCCTGGTGGAGGTCATCGACGTCAATGACAACCGCCCAGTCTTTGTGCGCCCCCCCAACGGCACCATCATCCACATCAAAGAGGTATGTGTCTCCCGGGCCTCCTGCCTACAGCAGGCCCCTCCCCATATCCAGCCCACTTCATCCCGCAGTCGTGCCCGGGAGCGAAAGGGCGGGCCCCATTGTGAAGGTGGGGAAACTGAGGCCAGAGGAGGGAACAGGCTTCTTCAGTGCTGCCCAGGGCAGTGCTGAACAATGGTTAGCAATATGGGCTGTGTCCGCAAAAGGTCTTGGGTTCAAGTCTAACTCTATCGCTTACCAGCCAAACTACCTTGAGCAAGTGACTTCTCTGAGTTTGTTTTCCCTCTGCAACATGGGACTAATCATCTCAGCTATTAGATGTCTGCCAGGAACAGTCCCCAGAAACCCACTCCCCCCACCCTGGTCTGGAGATAAACATCCAGGCCCCTTCCAAATGTCTGTTGTTCCTGCTGACACCAAGTGGAGACAGCCTGGGAGCTGAGGATGAGCATCAAAACAAGAAGCCAGGGGAAGTGGCTGAGCTTCCGGAAACTCCCCAGTTCTTCTTTCATCCCTCGCTCTAATTGCCTAGGGAAGTCTTTCTCTGTCTCCTGCCCTTCCCCGCCTTCCTCTCAGCACCCAGCCCACAATGCCCTTGGTGGTACAATCAGGGTACCTCCCACTTGCTGTTTGCTCCCCAAACGTCCACAAGTCTCTGCATCTCATATTGTCAGCACCGAGTTCTTGTCACTGTGTCTCCTCTTGGAGGTACCATGGAAGAAAGTTCTGCAGGGCAGAGCTCTAGGACACACTGTGCTTTTATGTTGTGACTTGCTGCAACTTGAGTCTGTTGCGATGATTGAGTGGTCAGTCCTCTTTGCTTTGTCCACTAAGGGAGCTCAGAGCGTTCAACCCACCTTGAGTGGCCCTGCAGGGTCTTAGCATACACACCTTGCTTCCCATCCCTCAGTTCCCATTTTCCCCCACCCTGGTCTGGAGATAAACATCCAGGCCCCTTCCAAATGTCTGTTGTTCCTGCTGACACCAAGTGGAGACAGCCTGGGAGCTGAGGATGAGCATCAAAACAAGAAGCCAGGGGAAGTGGCTGAGCTTCCGGAAACTCCCCAGTTCTTCTTTCATCCCTCGCTCTAATTGCCTAGGGAAGTCTTTCTCTGTCTCCTGCCCTTCCCCGCCTTCCTCTCAGCACCCAGCCCACAATGCCCTTGGTGGTACAATCAGGGTACCTCCCACTTGCTGTTTGCTCCCCAAATGTCAGCAAGTCTCTGCATCTCATATTGTCAGCACCGAGTTCTTGTCACTGTGTCTCCTCTTGGAGGTCCCGCGAAACAAAGTTCTGCAGGGCAGAGCTCTCGGAAACACTGTGCTTTTATATTGCGACTTACTGCAATTTGCGTCTGTTGTGATGATTAAGGGGTCCTCTTTGCTTTGTCCACTAAGGGAGCTCAGAGCGTTCAGCCCACCTTGAGTGGCCCTGCAGGGTCTTAGCACACACACCTTGCCTCCCATCCCTCAGTTCCCATTTTCCTGTCAACCATTTCTTTTGTCTACTCTGATTTTTAAAAAATGTGTTCACTCTTATTATAATTTATACTTTCTGATAAACTGCCTGAAATCCTCTTTGTGGAATGAGGCAGGGTATACATTTATAATAATCTAGTTCTTTTCCATACCAAAGGCCTCATTTACTAACTTTTTCCCTTCAAGGGCTCTGTATTTTGAAAGATTCATGTCTCCCAAACAACCACCATCTGTTAAGAAATTATCTGTTTGTCATCCACTTTCTATTAACTGCAACTGCCGTTCTGAGTGTCCGATAGTCATGGTCAATGAGATACACAGTGAAACCATGCTGAGCTGGTAATTTTTCAACTAAAAGCAAAGAAACTTGTTCTTTTGCTTGTGTGCCATGCAGCTTTATCATGCCGGGGTCAGTGTATGACGTCAGTTAGGCTTTTTGATATCTTAGACTTAATTCAAGGGATATGGGAGACTGGGGCTCAGAGAGGTTTAGTGGCATGTTTGGGTCACATGGTATTATAACAGACTAGAACCCAGGTGTACAGTCTGCATCCACCGTGTCACCCTACCTACCTGCCCCCCATTTTCAGGTACCCCATTAAATGGATGGTGTTTGGGGATACCTAGAGCTCCTGTGATTGGGGTAGCAGAGAGCAAGACAGACCTGGGAACAGAGGATGGCTGTGGCCTCTTCTAAACCTTAGCATGCAATGGAGTCGGAGGGATGAGGGTAGCCGCTGGACAGGCGGTCACACTAAAAGAGTTTGGAGCACGGAGGGTCCCCGGCTGAACCATCAAAGGGCAGTGGCCTTGGCTAGGGGTGGGGTGAGGGGATGTTCTAGCTGATGCTCAGACTCCAGTAGAGTCCAGCCAACAGGCAGCCATTTCCTAAGGATGCCGAAAGGTGGCAAGGACATGCTGCTACAGGACGAGAAAGAATGAGAGCTCCAGGGGGGCCTGGGATTCTCCCAGATGCCCCAGCAGCCTCCCTCCCCTGCCCTTGGGGCATGTCTACTGCCAGTTTAGGCCAAACCAGCAGTTGGACATCCCTCTCGCAATCCGGGACCACTGGCTCCTAACCGCACACCTGCCTGCCAGCCTGATCCCCCTAACTGCTCTCCCCTGCCGGCCTGATTCCCCTAACTGCTCTCCCCTGCCGGCCTGATCCCCCTAACTGCTCTCCCCTGCCAGCCTAATCCCCCCTAACTGCCTCTGCCTCAGCCCTGCCACCATGGCTTTGTCTGGAAGGTCGTCTGGAAGATGTCTGGTCTAATTAGCATATTACCCTTTTATTAGTATATATCCTTTCTGGCAAACTGCCTTAAATCCTCTTTGTGGAATGAGGCAGGGTATACATTTATAATAATCTAGTTCTTTTCCATACCAAAGGCCCCATTTACTAACTTTTTCCCTTCAAGGGCTCTGTATTTTGAAAGATTCACGTCTCCCAAACAACCAACATCTGTTAAGAAATTATCTGTTTGTCATCCACTTTCTATTAACTGCAACTGCCGTTCAGAGTGCCCGATAGTCATGGTCAATGAGATACACAGTGAAACCATGCTGAGCCGGTAATTTTTCTACTAAAAGCAAAGAAACTTGTTCTTTTGCTTGTGTGCCATGCAGCTTTATCATGCCTGGGTCAGTGTATGACGTCAGTTACGCTTTTTGATATCTTAGACTTAATTCAAGGGATATGGGAGACTGGGGCTCAGAGAGGTTTAGTGGCATGTTTGGGTCACATGGTATTATAACAGACTAGAAGCCAGGTGTCCAGTCTGCATCCACCGTGTCACCATACCTACCTGCCCCCCATTTTCAGGTACCCCATTAAGTGGATGGTGTTTGTGGATTCCTAGAGCTCCTGTGATTGGGGTAGCAGAGAGCAAGACAGACCTGGGAACAGAGGATGGCTGTGGCCTCTTCTAAACCTTAGCATGCAATGGAGTCGGAGGGATGAGGGTAGCCGCTGGACAGGCGGTCACACTAAAAGAGTTTGGAGCATGGAGGGTCCCCGGCTGAACCATCAAAGGGCAGCGGCCTTAGCTAGGAGTGGGGTGAGGGGATGTTCTAGCAGATGCTCAGACTCCAGTAGAGTCCAGCCAACAGGCAGCCATTTCCTAAGGATGCAGAAAGGTGGCAAGGACATGCTGCTACAGGACGAGAAAGAATGAGAGCTCCAGGGGGGCCTGGGAGCTGGGATTCTCCCAGATGCCCCAGCAGCCTCCCTCCCCTGCCCTCCGCAGGAGATCCCGCTGCGCTCCAACGTGTACGAGGTCTACGCCACAGACCAGGACGAGGGCCTCAACGGGGCCGTGCGCTACAGCTTCCTGAAGACCATGGGCAACCGGGACTGGGAGTACTTCACCATTGACCCCATCAGCGGCCTCATCCAGACTGCGCAGCGCCTGGACCGTGAGAAGCAGGCAGTGTACAGCGTAAGGGCGGGGCCAGCTCAAGGGGCGGGGCTAGGGAGGGCTTTCCTCTGGGTGCAGGGCCACCTAGAATGTCTTCAAGAGGGTGGTCTGGCCCCCGGGAGTGCCCTTCTGGGGCCCTGTGGCTCCTCTTCTGACTGTGCTCTTCCACCTCTAGCTCATCCTGGTGGCCAGCGACCTGGGCCAGCCAGTGCCTTATGAGACCATGCAGCCCATGCAGGTGGCCCTGGATGACATCGATGACAACGAGCCCCTCTTCCTGAGGCCTCCAGTGAGCTCTCACCCATGCCCCGCACCTGTCACGCCCACACAGGGACTCCCTGCCTGCAGGCACACATGTGCATGTCCTCCCTTCTGCACCCTTCACCATATGCATGTGTGGTTGCACCCAGAAACCTGCATACACTGAATAGAACAAATACTTATTGAGCCACTACTATTTCAAAGCACTACCCAGCTCCCAAAACGGAGCAAAATGCCAGACTCCTGAGCTGACCCCTCCTTAGTGCCACACTGTACACGGGAAGCCGGAAAGTCGGCTCTGCTTCCCTGAGTTGGGCTGAGCCCCTCCTTGGACTCGGGCTCTCTGACTTGGCGCTTTTCCCTGTGTGCACCTGGGATGAGATGTTCCCTGGAGACTCATGTGCATATGAGACAGTGACCCCTGGTCCAAACATCCACTGAGGTATTGGGAGACCAGAGAACGTGCCAAGCACAGCCCTGCCCTCATAGAGGATGCCACTGGGTGACATCAGGGCAGAGCTGGGGTCTCCCAAGCCCAGCCTTTGCCCCCTTGAGGTTATAGCCCTCTCCTCACCCCATAAGGTGTGGACAAGAAGCTCCCTCAGCACCCACGAAAGTCCTGCCTCGGGCCTCTGGCAGGAGCTGGGAGCCCGGGCCTTGCCTTGACCCTGTGAGGACACTCCCCTCTCCCTGCAGAAAGGCAGCCCCCAGTACCAGCTGCTGACAGTGCCTGAGCACTCACCACGTGGCACCCTCGTGGGCAATGTGACCGGCGCCGTGGACGCAGACGAGGGCTCCAACGCCATCGTGTACTACTTCATCGCAGGTGGGGCTGACGGGACTAGCGCCCTGCCTGCCCCGGGGCTGGAGATGGCCCGTGTGCCCTGCCCCTCACCCTGTGCCATGTCCCACCTTCAGCTGGGAACGAAGAGAAGAATTTCCATCTTCAGCCTGACGGGCGTCTGCTGGTGCTAAAGGACCTGGATCGGGAGCGCGAAGCTGTCTTCTCCTTCATCGTCAAGGCCTCGAGCAATCGCAGCTGGACACCTCCCCGGGGACCCGCACCGGACCTGGACCTGGTCACGGACCTCACCCTGCAGGAGGTGCGCGTCGTGCTAGAGGACATCAACGACCAGCCCCCGCGCTTCACGAAGGCTGAGTACACTGCAGGTGCAGGACGGGAGCCTGGGTGCCGGGGGTGGGGTGGCCCTGCCCTCCCACTTACACCACCGCCCATTCCTGCAGGAGTGGCCACTGACGCCAAGATGGGCTCGGAGTTGATCCAGGTGCTGGCCCTAGACGCAGACATTGGCAACAACAGCCTGGTCTTCTACAGCATTCTGGCCATTCACTACTTCCGGGCCTTTGCCAATGACTCTGAGGACGTGGGCCAGGTCTTCACCATGGGTAGGGGCCTGGTCACACGTGGGTTGGAGCCTGGTCACACGTGGGTTGGGGCCTGGTCACATGTGGGTAGGGGCCTGGTCACACGTGGGTTGGGGCCTGGTCACACGTGGGTTGGGGCCTGGTCACGCGGGCCTTTGCCAATGACTCTGAGGACGTGGGCCAGGTTTTCACCATGGGTAGGGGCCTGGTCACACATGGGTAGGGCCTAGTCACACATGGGTTAGGGCCTGGTCACACGTGGGTAGGGGCCTGGTCACGCGTGGGTAGGGGCCTCTGTCACTGCATGGAATGTCGTCTGGAAGAGATGGGGTGGTCTGTTTGGGCACCACAGAATATGGGTGGTCAGCCAGCCCTGTCAGTCTTTTCATTCATTCGCCCATCCATCTATTCAGCCAGTCAGCTATCATTCATTAATCCTTTTATTCAACCACCTATCCATATCTACATCTACCCACCCACTTCCTCTTTATCTTTCTCTTCCCATTTCCTCCTCCACCCATTATTCATGTATCCATCCCTCCATCCATCCACCCATCTCTCCATTCCCCTTTCCATATATCCTCCTGACGTTCCAGTTGGACACCTCGCCTTCCCGTGGTAGGCACTGTGCTAGGCACGGGGAGCCAGCATTCAGTGTGTACTTGTACCTACAAGTGTGCATGTCTGCTTGTGTACTTCCACCCATCTCTCCATTCCCCTTTCCATATATCCTCCTGATGTTCCAGTTGGACACCTCACCTTCCCGTGGTAGGCACTGTGCTAGGCACTGGGGAGCCAGCATTCAGAGTGTACTTGTACCTATAAGTGTGCAGTCTGCTTGTGTACTTCCGTGTGTGGGTGGCTGAGCCCACAGGGTGTCCCATTACCTTACTTTCAGCCCCAACCCCTTCCCTGCTCTTCTCTGTCTGTAGGAGTCAATCCAGACTTCTTGGCCTGGCATTCAAGGCTCACCAGGTCTTCTTCCTAATCCCCCTTTCTGGTTCTCATCCCCCTACTATCCTTAAAGGCCCTGTGCCCAGTCAGGCTGCACTGCTCACCATTCCTTCAGCCTGCTGCATGCCATCCTCCCTGGGCCTTTGGTCCCTTTTCTTCACTTCCTGGATTACCATTCTGACCTTCAACTCTGCCTTTGATATGCTCCCCCACAACCATCCTTCAAAATCTAGGTCATCCCTGGCTGGGTGGCTCCGTTGGTTGGAGCATCATCCCGTGCACCAAAAGGTTACAAGTTGGATCCCTACATATACGGGAGGCACTCAATTGACGTTTCTCTCTCTCTGAATTCAGTTTTAAAAAACAATAGCATATCCTCAGGTGAGGATTAAAAAAGCAAATCTAGTTCATATGCCTCCGTTGGTTGGAGCATCATCCCGTGCACCAAAAAGTTACAAGTTCGATCCCTGGTCGAAGCATATACGGGAGGCACTCAATTGACGTTTATCTCTCTCTCTGAATTCAATTTTTAAAAACAATAGCATATCCTCAGGTGAAAATTTAAAAAAACAAATCTAGTTCATATGCTACCTTCTCCAATCACACAACCAGACACCATCACTTTGTCCTCTGACCTCCCATTGCTCTTATTTTAATAAACAAAAACACAGAGAGGCTAAGTAGTGAAAGGTCACACAGCTAGAAAGTGGCAAATTTTAAACCCATGCCCACTGTCTTCTAAGAAGACTGGACTGTGCCTCCTGTGGTCATCTCTCTACTGTCAAATTCTGAATGCATGTGGGAATACAGACACTAAGGGGGCTCAGAAGGACCCCAGCAGGGGACACCAGATGCCCAAACTCATCCTTCTTGGGCCAGCACACCCACAGCTGTTTTGGTTGGTATGCAGAATGTTTAAATAAAAACCGAGCTCAGTAGTTAGAAACCGGGAGAGTTCACTAGGAATCTATAGAAGAGGCGCAGGTGTGGCAGCCAGGTTGGGTGGGTGCTGGGCTTTGCAGCTCTGGGTCCCAAGTCCTGCAGGCCCATGCTGCCTCCCCAGAAGTGTGTCTCCTGCCCCTGCACCTCCCCCCTGCCCCAGGGATCCTGGGGCACTGGGTGGCCCCTGAGCTGCTCCCCACCCGTGGCCTCTTCCTGCAGGGAGTGTGGATGGCATCCTGCGCACCTTCGACCTCTTCATGGCCTACAGCCCCGGCTACTTTGTGGTGGACATTGTGGCCCAGGACCTGGCAGGCCACAACGACACGGCCATCATCGGCATCTACATCCTGAGGGATGACCAGCGCGTCAAGATTGTCATTAACGAGATCCCCGACCGCGTGCGTGGCTTTGAGGAGGAGTTCATCCGCCTGCTCTCCAACATCACCGGTGCCATTGTCAACACTGACGACGTGCAGGTGCCCACAGGACCCGCCCTGGGGCTGGGGGCAGTGGAGGGAGAGGACTAGGCCACAGGGAGGGACAGGGCATTGTGGAGAGGCCAGAGACGTGAAAGGGGATGTACGTGCCCTCAATCGTTTCCTACCTGCATGGCCCGGAGAAAGGCCTTCCAGGTCTCCGGGCCTGTTTCCTAACCTGTGAAATGGGATAATGGTAGTGCCTCGCAGTGAGGTGATGGGTATCACGCTTGTGATGGGTTCACTGGGAAGGCAGGCCAGGAGGGGCGCCTAGAAGAGGCCTGCCCATCCCAGCCCATCCCTTGCACCTGCCACACCCTATAACGCCCCTTCTGGCCTAGTTCCACGTGGATAAGAAGGGTCGGGTGAACTTCGCACAGACAGAGCTACTCATCCATGTGGTGAACCGAGATACCAACCGCATCCTGGACGTGGACCGGTGAGTGGGCATCTGTGCTCGGAATGTCGTCTGCCTCCCTGCCCTGGAGTTGGGGAGGGACCCACCAACAGAGGCATCACCAGCACCATCATGCCTGCTGCACGGCGCTCTCCCAGGATGTGGGCAGAGAACCGTTTGTGGGTATTAGCAGAGCTCTGCCCTCCTGAGCCTTACTCTCCCCGTCTGTACAATGGGAGTATTATACTGATTGTGAGGGATGTGAACTCTATAGGATACAAAGCGATCCTAGCTGGGTGGGTTTTAATCTTGCAAGGCTTGCGAGGGGTGAACCTTAGACGTCCAAGTCAAGACCTGGGCAGCCTGGCCTGAGTGAGCAGGCGCTTGGGGGATGGCTGAGGATGGGAATTGAGGCCCCTGCCCCTTGCCCAGGGTGATCCAGATGATCGACGAGAACAAGGAACAGCTGCGGAATCTTTTCCGAAACTACAATGTCATGGACGTGCAGCCTGCCATCTCTGTCCAGCTGCCCGAAGACATGTCTGCCCTGCAGGTACCCCTGGGGGCACCTGCCCCACCACCCCCTTATCACCCCGGGTGCGCCTGCCCGCTCACGCCTGTCCCGTTCCCTCAGATGGCGATCATCGTCCTGGCCATCCTCCTCTTCCTGGCTGCCATGCTCTTCATCCTCATGAACTGGTACTACAGGACCGTGTGAGTGACCCCTGGCCCTGCCCTGAGATTGGCTGACCAGCCAGCCCTCCTCCAGGGATGGATATGGAGGCAGGCAGTGTCCTGAGATGCCAGCCCAGCCCCAGCCTCCCTTACCAGCGCCTCTCTCTGCTTCTCTCCAGACACAAGAGGAAACTCAAAGCCATCGTGGCTGGCTCCGCAGGTGAGTGAGGGCTGTGATGGCGGGAGGTTAGAGGTCAGGAGGGGCTCCTGGGGAACTCACATGGCCCTGGACGGGGCCAGGCTCCCGAGCCCCAGCAGAGCAGCTCCCTGCCCTCCATGCCCCAACCGCTCCCTGCAGGGAACCGTGGCTTCATCGACATCATGGACATGCCCAACACCAACAAGTATTCCTTTGACGGGTGAGTGGGGTCCCCAAGTCCTGCCTGGTGCATGCTGGGAAGGCCTGCCCAGGACCCAGCTGGGGCGGAAGCTTCCCTGCCGCCTCCCAGTGAGGGAACTCAGACTAGCTAAAACCTGGGGTGTGGGCGCCCCCTGGTGGGTCAGCCACCCCTCTTCTCCACCCTCAGAAACCGTGTCACTGAGCTGGGCTCCCCAACCCTGATGGGCCCCAAGTTCGAGGGGGGAGTTGACTTTGGTCAGTGGGTGCAGTGAGGCTTCCAGACCGAAGCTCATCCAATCGACATGTTGTCCTGTCCTGGTTCTAGTGGGATCCTAGGGGGAGGACGCACCCGCAGGTGCTGTGGGCAAGGGACCTGCACCCCCTCCCCTGCTCTGTGAGACACTACAGTTGGCCAGGGAAACAGGAAGGGGTGAGGGTGAGGCGGGCAGGGCCTCTGTCCTCTCAAGCCTTCCATCCTCACCCCACCCCGCCCCCACCTGCAGGGCCAACCCAGTATGGCTGGATCCTTTCTGCCGGAACCTGGAACTGGCCGCCCAGGCCGAGCACGAGGACGACCTGCCGGAGAACCTGAGCGAGATCGCAGACCTGTGGAGCAGCCCCACCCGCACCCACGTGAGCCAGGGCCAGAGGCAGGGGCAGGGTAGAGGAAGGGCGGGTCTTCGTCAGCCCTGGCCAAGGAGCGGGGTTTTCTAGGACAGTGGTTGCCAACCGGTGGTCCGTGGACCACTGACAGTCCCTGAGGTCCGAAAGGTTGGCGACGGCTGTTCTAGGTGGTCCTCTGCCCTGTATGTGGGTGTGTGCCTGCTTGCCATCTACCTCTGTCCAGCTAACATCCTCTCTCCCAGGGAACTTTTGGACGTGAGCCAGCAGCAGTGAAACCTGACGAAGACCGCTACTTGCGGGCAGCCCTCCAGGAGTACGACAACATTGCCAAGCTGGGCCAGATCATCCGGGAGGGGCCCATCAAGGTGAGCGCTCCCTACAGACTCCTGCACCTCTGCCCCGGAGCCTTAGCTAAGCTTGGACCTGCTCCAGGGGATGCAGGGAGCGGGGAACGGCCTTCTCCACCGCCAGGCTCAGCTAGACCCGGCCTCCACTGGGGCCAGAACACCAGGGCAACAAGAGGGTCCTGGGCACTGGGGCCGATCAGGAGCTGCTCCAGCCCGTGGTGCCCTTAGGGCCAGGGTGCCATCCCGAGCTGTCAGGCTCTGCTCCTGATCCTCTACACTAGGGTTAGAGGCCTGTGTCTCCTAGACGCCCTGTCACCTTCCATCACCCTGGATGAGTTACCAGAGCGAGGGGTGGGGAGGCTGGGGGGCCGTGGTGGGGGGTTAACCTTCTCCCTCCCCCAGGGCTCGCTGCTGAAGGTGGTCCTGGAGGATTACCTGCGGCTCAAAAAGCTCTTTGCACAGCGGATGGTGCAAAAAGCCTCCTCCTGCCACTCCTCCATCTCTGAGGTAGCGGGGAGGGCAGGGAGCTGTGTGCCGTGCCCCAGCCCTGGGGGTGCTCTCTCTTCCTCTCTCTGGCTCTCCTGCTCTCATCCTTCTCCGTCTCTGGAGCTCAGCAGCCAGGACCAGAGAGCAGTGGGTGGGGTACAGGAAGTGACAGTGGGCTCCGCTTTCTGGGTTCTGCAGTGGGCTTTCCAGGGATGGGGTAGGCACAAGGAAGTGTTTCCCAGATTTGAGGAACCCCAAAAAGATACTTGTAAGGGGTGATTTAAAGAAACTGGCTGTAGGTTCAAATAGGGTCTCAAGTCTGCCTGCCTGCAGTGGCGTGTCAACACTTGGAAAGTCAGGTGAAGACCCAGGTCACCAGCTGGGCCAACATTCCAAGTGAAATGGGCCAAAGCCGAGTTCCCCACGGAACAAAAGCTCCATCTGGGTGCCCAGTACACCTTGGTCCCCTCCAGCTTCACCTGTGGGCACTTCGACCTGGCCACTAGTGTTGACCTTGCTTGAGGCCAACTTGGTAACAAACCCAGAAACTGCAGTTGCATCACAGCAACTTTGCAGATAAAAGTGAATACACAAAATTCAACTCCCGAGAGCACAGCACCGTAAGTTCCATGGTTCCCCTCGTACCAGCTGGAGACAGGCTGTTAGCAGCCGCACAGGCCGCTGCAGCGCCAGCCCAGGGTCCCTGTGCGCAATGGGGAGGAAGCAAGCGCATAGCAGGTAGGACGCTGGGGCCCCCCCGCCTGCTCACCCCCTGGGCACAGCCCTGAGCATGTGGGGGCTCCTGGACTCTTGCAGTTGATCCAGACGGAGCTGGAGGAGCCAGGGGAGCGCAGCCCGGGCCAGGGCAGCCTGCGCTTCTGCAAGCCGCCTCCAGAGCTCAAGGGGCCCGACGGGATCCACATGGTGCATGGCAGCACGGGCACACTCCTGGCCACTGACCTCAACAGCCTGCCCGAGGACGACCAGAAGGGTCTGGGCCGCTCACTGGAGACGCTGACGGCGGCCGAGGCCAGTGCCTTCGAGCGCAACGCCCGCACGGAGTCCGCCAAATCCACGCCCCTGCACAAGCTTCGAGATGTGATCATGGAGAGCCCCCTGGAGATCACGGAGCTATGACTAGATGGGGGAGCCTCACTAGTGTGAGCAGCGCCAGGACCGTGGGGTGCGGACCCCTCCAGGCTGACCCTGGCTCACGACCGTGGCTTGGTCAAGTGGTGGCAGCCTGCTCTCTGCAGCTCAGATTCCACTGCTGCCAGGCACTCATTCAGCATCTGATCTCTACCTTCATAAAATCTGTTATTTTTTTAAGAAAACCAAACAAGAATGTTAAGTGTCTAAGGACAAGGTAAGGAGCATCCCTGGGGGACAGGAGTAAGGACCAACTCAGCCCAGGCTGAACTGAAAGAGGCCAAGCAGACCCCCTTCCCCTCTCCACCCCTCCCAGCCTGGCCTTGACTCAGACTTCCGTTGAAGTCTCACCACGTTTCTGCCATGTCCGACTGGACACCCAGGTGGGGCAGTGAGTGACCCCTGCCTCCCCACCTGGACAAGGTTATTATCCACGAACCACGTTCTCTCCATGTCACTGGCTTCCCAAATGTACCGGCTCAAAAGGAGAAATGACTGATGTTCCCTTGGTTTTGAATGTAGAGTGTTCGTGTGTATTCCTTTTTAAATTAAGTTATTCCCTCAATATGTTCCCCTTGGTTTGTTTCACTGGTACTCACTGAACGTTTCTGGAATGGTCTGAATTTTAAAAAGAAAAGCAACTCACAGGAACTGACACTCGCTCTGGTGAACGACGGCGTGGCTGGCCGGGGAGGTGGGGGAGGGGGGTGAAGGGGTATCTCAGGGCAGACAGGTGGGACTTGACCCACTGTGCTTCCTTTCTCTGACCAAGAGGTGCCACGGGACTGCTGAGCACTTACGGGTCCACGGCCTTGGAGAGCTAATCAGAAACGCAACTTCTGGCTGAGGTATCACAGAATATCAGATCTGATTGACAGACTTTATTGTTAAATCACAGAAACTTTAGTGCAAAACAAAAAAATCATTAAGTCCGTTTAATGGCAACTGCAGGTCTTACTGTCCCCTGACAACCAGAAGTGCAGAAGAGTCAGCCACGGGGGAGGAGGCAGGGCAGCAGCCAAGGTCCTGAACAGCACGCCCAACAGGCCCGCTGCCTGGAAGCCAGAGGCTTAGGTGCTTGTCACCCACTTATTTCAAGGTCAAAAGCAATATCCACAAAACAGGTCAAAGGGGCTGTGATGCCCAGAGGCACAGAGCAGGCATGAGGTGGTCACCACGGTCCACGTGTTCACTCACAAAAGCCAGGGGCAGAGGACCCCCACACTGAGCTACGTAGGTTGCATTCAAGCAGATTTTCCCCTCCCACCCAAACCCACAGGACCAAGCAAGACATCACCAAGAAAGACACGGGAAAGCTGGAGCACAGGCTGACCCAGGGTCAGCAAACCCAAACCTCACCCAGGTGTCCTGAGCAGCCGCTTCCAAAACCTCTATCTCAGTGCAAACCACACTGAGTACAAAGCCTAATCACTTTGAGCCTCTAATCTTTCATATGAAGCAGCCTTCGTTTCACTTTTTTGTCTAGCAACCCAGGAGCCCGGGGAGGTGTCCTCCTCAGTGTAGGCAGAGGCTCCAGAAGCCAGCCCACCAGCGCCCAAGCCCCGGTCAGGGCTCAGCAAAGCCCGGCCAAGAGGACGGACGGCCTTCTGTGAAGAAGCTCTGGCTGCTGCCAGCAGCGAGCCCCCTTCCTCCTCCAGGTAACCACATGCAAGGGCAGGCTCAACGGCCTCCAGGGTGCAGGGCATCATTATCCATGTGGCGGAATGAAAAGGACACTGAAGCACTATGTCAGCAGCAGGCTAGGCACCTCCCGCGCTGACAGCAATGTTACAATAAGGGAGATAAGGAACAGCGTGAGGGAAAGGGGGGCCTATTTCTATAACAAAGTCGAAAGATCTGTGTTCCTTCCCCCAGACATACAAGTAGGAACAGATGCTGTGGTTTCTCCAAGATGGAACAGTCTTTCTAGTTCCACACGTGACGTTTGCAATGCTCGACGGCCTGACAGGAGAGAGGACACTGGGTTAATCAGATGACAACTCCACTCCTGGCCCATTCATGCATCAGACATCCCCCCAAAATGGAGCCTGTTCATCTTGTCCTAGGTCAGGTGGATGGCACCACACACAGAGGGCCCAGGACAGCAGCTCACTTAAAACCCGGGGAGCACGTGCTTGCTCATGAGCACCCATGCAGGTAGGGCCCAGGACCCCTGCGTCCAGCCACACACCTAGGCCCCAGCATCAGCTGACAGGCTGCACTGGAGGCCCCCAAGGCAGAACTCCTCCCCTGAGAGTCAGAGATTCACACCAGCTCAGGCCTTGAGAAACGGGCCCAGGACAGCAGCGGAAACCTGTTCCGCCACGATGGGCCTCACCACCCCTCCTTGCAGTGGCCCCAAATGATGCAACCTCCCCCAACTGGAGGAACTCTCACGAGGAAGAAAAAGTTGCACAAAAGAACATTAAGTAACAGAGGCTGGTCCAAACGTCCCCACCCAGGAAAACAGCGAGCGTAGGTCACCCAACTGGTGGCTACCCAGCCAGGATGGTGCCACAGCACCCTGCAGCTTGTCAGGCAGGTGCCAACTCTCAGGGCCTTTCTAAACAGCTCTGCTCGGCCTTGGGTGAAGATTCAGGCCAGGCTCCAACCAGGGCAAAAGTGACCCCCGAGGGACATGAGGACTTATGCAAGGGTTGGGGCAATGAACCCAATAGGCCTTGTGCAATCCCTGGGGGGGGGTGGGGGGGGGGAGAACCTGACCCTTTCATGGGAACTGGAGGAGAAAGCAAGAGGACGAAACAAAATCAGTATTAAAGAACAGCTACCCCTTCACTCTGAGACAAGAACACAGCCAGCCCTGCCTTGACTGGGAAGCCGGGAGTAAGCCTAATTGCCTCCCTTGGCCTCAGGTTCCTCACTAACATAAAGACAGGGTAGAGAATGGCCCGAGGCCATTAAAGCAGGATTCTCAGGGAAGCTGCCGCCCTGCAAGGCAGCCTGTGGAGCAGGTGCTGAGCTACTCACGTTGCACAAGGCCGCTGTCTCCGTGCTCTGGCACCAGTAGCTCGGGCCCCACACACACTTCTCCGTTCCCAAGAGAGGCTTAGGGGCTTTGGGGCAGGCTCCAACTTTCTATATGATGAAAAGGGAGCACAGAAGGGGAAGAATTAGATCTAACGAATCCTTTACAGACCTGAAACCATCAGCTTCTAGAAGCAGCGAGAACCAGAGCTCCTATGGGCACTTTCAAAAAACATCAGGGTTCCCAAGTGGTGGGCCTAGAGCAGCCGTGGGCAAACTACGGCCCGTTTGAAATGAATAAAACTAAAAAAAAAGACCGTATCCTTTTATGTAATGATGTTTACTTTGAATTTATATTAGTTCACACAAACACTCCATCCATGCTTTTGTTCCGGCCCTCCGGTCCAGTTTAAGAACCCATTGTGGCCCTCAAGTCAAAAAGTTTGCCCACCCCTGGCCTAGAGCCTGGTTCTCTACTTGACTTTCTCACGCCCCATCCCAGAGCCTCTGGCCCATAGCCCACACCCTCCGAGGAGCCCTTCCAGGGTCCACACAGCACCCCAGGTTGCGTGCCCACGAACCCGCGCTCAGAGCTCACCGAGCACACGTAGGACGGCTCCATCACCTCCACCAGGATTTCTATCAGCATGGGCTCGTACTCGGTCACAAACTGATCACACTGAGAAGCAAGCAGGGACACGGGTCCAGGTCAAGGTGTGCCCAGAAGAGTGGGAGCTGGACATGCTCTTCCCCAAGATTTCCAGCCCAGTGGCCCCAGGGCCTCCTCCCCAGAGCCCCACCCACACTCGGCCTCATTTGCTTGTGTTGTTTTCCCCCAGTGGCTCCATTTGAGCCAACAGATTGCCTCTGAGGAAAGGTCACTGGGCTCCGGGCATCCAGGCAGAAATGGCTTCAAAACTTCAGTCAAGGGCACAGTCAGGGAACAGCCCAGCCTCTGCATGGCCCAGGCAGGTGGGACTCAGGCAGAGCAGCCAGGGCATACCTGGTTCTTGTATGGGTCGGGCAGGAAGCTGCAGCCTTTCTCAAGAGCAGCCAGGATCTCCTCCTTTGTGCTGTTTTTCTCCAGGTTGTTGTCCAAATAGCCAACCAGCTTTTTGCACACCTCGCAGAAGGCACCGTCATTCTGCTGAGTCACGTGTGCTATGCGAGAGAGCACAGGCTCAGGGCCGGCAGGGCCCCCCCAAACTCCCAAGGGGCCGGCCAGCCTCACTCCCACTGGGCTCACCGGTCAGTGCAGGCAGCCTCTGCTTGGTGCAGAGCTGGAGCATGCTGCACACCAGCTCAGGGCTCGCCTCCTGAAGGAGGATCGACAGGATGGAGCGGCCGTAAGTGTCCACCACCTCTTGGCACTCTTCCGACAAGGATTTGGGCAGTTTTGAGCACACTTTATCGAAAGCATGAATTATTTCTTCCTGAAACACAAGAGGATCATGTGGGAAGATGGGAGGCTGGGTAGGGGTGGGAGAGATTCTGAAAATACTAACATGACTAGGAAACCAGTCAACAGCAAGATGCCGTTTCCTCCTGCAAAAGACAAGAGCTACAAGCAGGGCAAAGGGGCCTCCTCCAGCCGCAGCCCAGAGGGATCCACGGGTGGGAAGTGGTGACAGATTCCCAGGCTGGTGCCCAGACCAGCAAGGACCAAGCCCACCTATTCTTCTGGGTTCTCCCACTGGGCCATCCCAGCTCCAGGAACCCAGGAGAGCGCCTCCCGCTGCCAGGAGGGCAGCATTCCGGAAACCCACGTACCTCAGTCTTGTTGCTGTCGATCATCTTGACCACCTCCTTCACCACGTATTCACACATCTCGCAGAAAACATCATCCTTCGCCTGCACCAGGCCCTTCTGTGGAGGGTCAGAGAACATGTGAATGCTGAGACCCTCACCTCAGCCCTTGGTCCTGGAGCATGTTCCTCTGAAGGAGAAGGGACTCAGAGGCAAGGATAGGTTAACATCGCAAAGGCCCACTTCCTACTAAATCCAAGGGAAGTGCTTCCTCCCAGGGTCTCAGTTCCAGTCCCTCTTGTTTCTATGAGGCAGGAGTCCCATCCCTTTCGCCAAATCCTTCACCACCACCTCCTCCCGCCACTCCCCCACCCCCAACCAGGAATTTACACTTCAGTTAAAATGTTCAGGAATCCATACTTCAGTGAAAGCACTGAACTATCCACCCACCCCAAAGAGCTGTCCATGTGATGCTGTGTTTGGTTGCAATTATTTCATCAGTCAGCGTTCGTCCTGGGGAGTGGGCAGGGGCGCAAGAACACTATTTAGAAGCCAGTTTTAAACCCATTTCAGGTCTGCTCTTGAGTTTCAAGTCTCATTAACACCTGAAACTGCTTTTCAAGAGCCTGCCTTGAATGAAGCAACACTGCTGACTAGGACTTTCTGTGACAACGGAAACATTCCCCATGCCTGCTGTCAAATACAGAGGTCACCAGCCACTCTCTACTGAGCACCGGAATTTTCTTTTTAAATCCTTACCCCAACAATAAAGATTTTTAAAAAATCCTTATCCAGGAACATGCTTAGAGGGAGGGGGGGTGGGAGGGGAGAAACATTGATCCACTGCCTCCCACACATGCCCCAACTGGGGATCGAACTTGCAACCAGGGTATGTGCCCTGACCGGGAATCAGACCTGCAACCCTTTGGTGCACGGACAACACTTAACTAACGGAGCTTCACCAGGCAAAGCCTGAATTTTTTTAATTTTAATTTTGTTTAAGTCATGTGACTAGATTACAGGCCATTAATTCTGTCATCCAGGTGGGCAAAGGCCTATGAGCATCTCGACGGGGGACAAGGGGCAGGCAGCAGTGTTTCCCTGACTCTACCTGACACCTTAACACAGCGGTTCTCAACCTGTGGGTCGCGACCCCTTTGGCGGTCGAACGACCCTTTCACAGGGGTCGCCTAGGACCATCCTGCATATCAGATATTTACATTACAATTCATAACAGTAGCAACATTACAGTTATGAAGTAGCCACGAAAATATTTTATGGTTGGTCACAACATGAGAAACTGTATCTAAAGGGCCAGAAGGTTGAGAACCACTGCCTTAACCCTTCCTGTGGGCCACACGCTGCACCTGCTGAGGGAGGAACACAGCCAAAGGAGAGTGACGTGGGAAGCTCTGGAACAAGAAGTGCGTGCGTGTGCCACGTGGTAAGGTCCCTGGCTGGGCCCCCAAGCGGCAGACCTTCCCCACAGGCCTCGTGCGTCTATATCCAAAAAAATGTTTTCCCTAAGTGGCAGCCCTGACCAACTTTAAAATCATTTTTCGTGAGAATTTTCAGCTGAAAATATTCAAGAACACCCGAACTGTAATATATTTATTTTTATAATATTCATGCAAATTGATTTTTTTAATTAAATTCAAAATACTGTGGTGTGTGGGGATGGTTTCCGTTTGGATGCGTGGCAGTTAACTGGTTAAGAACTAGACTGCAGGCCCCATGCACACAAGGACAGTTTTGTTCATCACTGTAGGTGGGCTGATCTAGGCCTCCGTCCCTCAAACACTCCCTGGCCCATAAGAAGTGCTGAATATAAACTGATTATGGAAAAAAGGAGACTCGCCACCAAGTGAAACAAAGCAGATGCCCGGAGGCTTTGGGGGCTGGGAATAGCAAGTCTGTACTATGGCTACCGTTGGGGGAGGCCACAGAGAGCACATCCGAAGAGGTCAGGTTGGAGCCAGGCACTGAAAAATGATCTGAATGACATGCTAAAATGTAGACTCGATCCCATGAGCGCTGGGGTTGATAACCAAGGCAATAAATGTACTCAACACGGCGTTGGCCGGTACAAAACAATGATACAGGTACCTTAATGGGCTCCACCAGTTCCAGAGCAGGGATGACGTCCTCCGAGACCACTTTGGCAGGGAGCAGAGGCTGCATGGGCACCTCCTGCTCACAGAACCCGACCATTGCACAAATGTCCTTGGGTTGCTGGAGAGAGCACAGAAAAGGCAGTCAGACACAGGCCTGCACCCACCGCCCGAGTCCCACGCTCTATGCTCAAAGGTCAGGGTGCCAAAGGAGCACCCTGGTCCCAATGTCAAGGGCTGATACTGTAAAAATTGCATATTAAAGGCAAAGGAGCTCGTGCAAATGCAGATGGACCCGTTTCCCATAGGGGAGGGGCACACAAAGCTCTGGGGGGGTCAGACAGACCGCTGTCCCTGGTGCAGCAGGGAAGCAAGACTCCCACCCCTGAGGTTAACGGTGGCCAGTCATCCCCAAGGACACTGGTCTGCTCTAGAGCCTGCTGTTCGTTGAGCTCAGTGGGAAGTAAGCTCCATGTTCTTTCTGGAGGAGGAACTATAATGCTCATAAACTAACAGAAAGCCAAATGTGTTAGAAATAAAACCACACCGGGTCATTCAATGCAGGACCATTTACAATGATGCATTAAGGGGAAATGTTAGCTTTTCAAAAAACCACATCCTATGTTCACAATTACACAAACACAGTTCAACGAAAACCCAGTCCCCCAAATTAATGAATCCTTCAAGTCACCAGATTGATCCCTTTTCCCAACCAGACACCAAGCCACAAGAGAATTAGACAGTTTGGACATCTTGACCATTTCATCGTACGATGGCCAAGAGCAAGGAAAGTATACACAGTCTGTATACTTTGTAAACCAAATGCCACCAGTGACTAGCTCTGGGCCTGGTGGCATTTGCCTCCCACCACCAAACCAGCGGACCAGGTTTGCTGAAAGTGAGACCTGGGAAGGGAAGAGAGCTAGATCATGGCTAGGGTTCATCTTGTTTAAATACCAAGAAGGCTCCAGAATAAATTAAGGGTGGGGGAGTTTGAAAGTATATTTGAAGTATCCTGTCTGTGGCACACTTTAAGACTGGGGGAAAAGCGCGGCCGGCGTGGCTCATTGGTGAATGTCGACCTTTGAACCAGGAGGTTACGGTTCAATTCCCAGTCAGGGCACATGCCCAGGTTGCGGGCTCCATCCCATGTGGGGTGTGCAGGAGGCAGCCAATCAGTGATATCCTCTCTCTCTCTCTCTCTCTCTCTCTCTCTCTCTCTCTCTCTCTCCCCCCCCCACCCCCTCTCCCTGAAATCAGTAATATATTTTAATAAATAAATAGGGGGAAAAACAGAATGTGGCCAAAGATAGAGCTAACTTTTTAGAAAAAAAAGACAAAAAGCCCGGTTGGTGTTGCTCAGTGGTTGAGCGTTGACCTATGAACCAGGAGGTCACAGTTCGATTCCTGGTCAGGGCACAGGTCTGGTTTGCAGGCTCAATCTCCAGTGCGGGGCGTGCAGGAGGCAGCTGATCAATGATTCTCATCATTGATATGTCTGTCTTTCTCTCCCTCTCCCTTCTCTGAAATCAATAAAAATATGTATTTTTCAAAAGAAGAGAAAAAAAATCAAAGATTCAGGTGGGCTGCTTTGTCTCAGATCAGCTTTGTTCCACGAGGCAGCCTATGTGAAAATTCAGGTATTTCAGCCAAATCTCCTACTAGACTTCAAAAAACCTTTGAAAAATTTCAGTTCCAGTGCTCAAAAGGAGGCAATGCTCAGTACAGCCCCCAAAGGGCACCTGGCTCCGTTAAGTCTGGTCTGACGGCTCAGCGCCCCCCACTTTATGCCACGCGGCATAGCTCACAGGCCGTCTGCTGTGGCTCCTGGATCTGCAGGACCTCATCACCCAGACGGGCAGAAGCCGCAACCAAGAGACTGTCTCCATGCTCTGGATCCAGCAGACAGGGGAACAGTCTGCTCACTATTTGCAACTGATGTGTTCATGCGGGAGCAGCATTTCTGGGGCATGGAAAACAGGAGTAGGACATGCTGTGCTCTCAAGCCATGACAGAAACAAGGCCCCACCGAAGTCCGGCCTACAGTGCAGGAAGCTGCGGCATCTTGGGGACCACTCATGGTTCCCCATCATCACACTGGTGGCCTGGCATCTGGCCCATTGGGCACTGACTTGGCGCAGGGTGCGTGGCTCTGCTGGCTTCATTTCCTGGACCCCTGAAGGGGAGATGGAACCCCCGCCACCTCAAGTGCTGAGCTCCAGGGAAGAGATGCAGAAGCTCCCTGCCAGCCTATACACCCAGAGAGGGACCCTGCCTTCCAGTCTTCCTTGGATCTGCCAGAGGGGATCATGCATACAAAAAAGATGAGCAAAAGAGCTACAAGCAGCAGCCGACCACTACTCCAAGCAAATCCCCATCACATACCTGATCCTGCTGTTGAATAAAAAAACAGGAAATCGGAGATAAAATAAGAGAAAGGAAAGGACACAACAGTTAAGAAAAATTAAAACAATGATCAGGCAGTTCATGAGGTTTAGGATATCACCAGAAGTTTAGGGGAATCATCCTTCAGTCACAAGTCAGCCACCTACCTTGTTCCTACTACTGAGTGCACACTGGGCCCTCCCAACTACTCTGGCCCTCCTTACTGGACGGATCACACCTCCAGCTGTGTGTGCACCGTCCCCATGTCCCCGACACAACAAATCATGTTCATAACACCGGGCAGCAGGTCCCCAGAAAATGCCACATTATGAAGAGCTCTCATCCCCAGAAGCCTAACCCCACCACACCTGCAGGGCCCTCCCCTCAGGTTGGTGATGAGCAGCAAAATGAAACAAGACACGGGGCCGCCCGAATTAGGGGAGTGTGTTATAAAATACACCCGGAGGGGTTAGGGACTCGAGCCACGCTCTCCACGGCCCAGGTCTCCCAGCAACCTACCCCCGGTGGCCAAAGGCCAGACTGGGAGGCTGGTCTGACACTCTATCAACAGCCTGGCACTCTGGGTGAGCAGTATCCGTTTTAATGACCTAAACTAGGAAAAGCAGGGCTTTGGCTGCTCATCATGCCTTTTATCCCCAGGGCAAACCTGCCAACAACCCAAACCCCCAGCCACGGGGGACTGGGTATATAAATTACCTTTAGTTGCACAGTGAAATGTTATGCAGCCACTTAAAAATCATTTGTACAAAATATTTAATGACCAATATAATTTTAGATTAAAAATGCAAACTACAAAATTTGTGGAATATAAAATATGACCCCACTGATGTTTTCTTAAACCTCAAATGATTTTCAATTTGGGAAGTATTATCCATATTTTCAAAGAATGTATATGCAGTATAATCTTTACAATGAGAAACAGTTTTTAGTTAGCTCTGAGGAAGCACTAATCAAATCAAGTCACACCGAAGGCTTACATTTTCCTACTCTCGCTGCTGTCTTCGTAAGCTGCAGTAGAACAAGGTGTGGTATGAGTAATAATCCCAAATAACCTCTATTGTGACTGGATGGAGACTGAGTGGTTAGGAACAGGATCAGAGAGTAAATCTTTTCGGTTTTGCGAGCATTAGGGTCTCAACTACTCAACTCTGCTACTGTAGCGCAAAATGGGCATTGCTATGTTCCAATAAAACTACCAAACAGCCCCTAGTTAGAGAATAAACTCAAGAACTACAGGCCAGCCCTAACCGGTTTGGCTTAATGCATAGAGCATCGGCCTGCGGACTCAAGGGTCCCAGGTTCGATTCCGGTCATGGGCATGTGCCTTGGTTGCGGGCACATACCCAGTGGGGAGTGTGCAGGAGGCAGCTGATCGATGTTTCTCTCTCATCGATGTTTCTGACTCTAGCCCTCTCCCTGCCTCTCTGTAAAAAATCAAAAAAATAAAAAAAAAAAAAAAAAGAACTACAGGCCAATTTCAACTAATCAGAAGCAAGCATGACAGAAAGGAAAAAGTACAACCCACCCCTCCATCCCTCCAGGTTAGGTCTCAGGAGGCCAGAGCAAGTTCCCAAAGGAATGATGCTTCAGACCACCCTGCTCCGTGCCAGTTTTCTGCATGAAGCTGGCTAGCTGACGATACTTCCGATCTCTAATCATGAAGGGATGCCCCTACCACCTGGATACATCAGAGGCAAGTGTGAGAGCTAGCACTGCTGCAGAGTGTGGGACCAGCTCTAAGAGGCAGCAACACAGCGGTTCTCAGGCCTGGCCTAGCTACAGAGCAGACCATGCCCAGAAGGCCAAGGGTGAAAGCCAAATGCTAGAAATCTGATGGGCAGCTCACATAGGCACAGCACATGAACATTCACAAGGTGAGGAAGGCCCCAGGGCAGTGGTGAGGGTGGTCAAGCCAGGAAGGTAAAAGGGAGATAGTGAGCTGCAGGTGGAGAGTCAGCTAGTCACCAAGGGCTCATTTTAGCCCAACTTAGTACTCAGAGGTAAACAAAGGAAACTACACTATACACTTTTCAAAATCCCTGGAAATCACAAAGTTTGAGATAAAGAAAAATGCTAAGGAGGAACGTCCCCTGCCACCTACCATGTGCATCATCATCTGGATAACAATGTCAGAGTACTGGTCGACATAGTTCTTGCACTGGGGACAGAGAAACACACTGTTAGTGAAATTACCGCGACAACACACCAAAAATCAGCATTTCCAATCCCAAAGTAGAGTCTTGTAAATGTCTGCTCTGGGAAAGTTTTATTAAGATGAAAGTGGCAACGTGGTTCTTCTCTACCTAACAGGACAAGGTGTGAAAAAGGTACTTTGAAAAAGGCCTTTGGAGAGAAGGTCCTCCAGTCTCCTTTTTGCCCCAAACTTGCCCCAAAATCACAGAGTAGCAACTTCTGAGTGCTGGGAACCAGAGATTATTTTTCAAATCCTTCCACACGTTCTTGGACAGAATTATAAAGTTGAAATCCAGCAGAATCAAGTTACGATGATTTTCAACTTGCCTATTTTTATACACATCTAGGCATTTCCTGTAGACCCTCAGAGAATAGCTCTCTGAGAATAGGTTCTAACTGGAGAGCCTCCACAGGGAGAAAAGCAAGTGATATGACAGCCCTCCATACTGAGAAACCCATATGCAAAGATACTGCAATGAGGCTACGACTCCCAGGCTTACAAGAGAGCAAGTCATCAGAGAGGAGCCTCACCTCCAGAGCCAGCCCGCGGCCATCCAGAAAGGCTGCCCTGGACCCAGACCCACACTGTCATGACAACCAGCCCCTGCATCCGGTCCAGCAGAGGCTTTTTGCTTGCCAGGTACTAACCTGGCATTTCGGTTTTACACACCAATCGCTTGAGTGTGGTTAATGTGAACAGGGTCTAAGAAATAAAGCCCCCTGAGGGGCTAACCAGTTTCTGTGCTCACAGGGCTAACGTTCACAGGTAAGGAAGGCACCCGGTGAACCTCCTACAAGCCAGCCGGGGGGCTTCCCACGGACGGCAACCTGCTGGCTGCGGGGAGCACACTTAGGGTTATTACCACGCACAGCCAGGCTGTCAGAAACAGGGCTGTAAGTGGTTCGTGTTTTCTTACATACACGATTCTGGGAGAAAAAGAAATCTTCACCAAAGTAGTCTCCTTCCCCTAGACCAGTGGTTCTCAACCTTCTGGCCCTTTAGATACAGTTCCTCATGTTGTGACCCAACCATAAAATTATTTTCGTTGCTACTTCATAACTGTAATGTTGCTGCTGTTATGAATCGTAATGTAAGTATCTGATATGCAGGATGGTCTTAGACGACCCCTGTGAATGGGTCGTTCGACCGCCAGAGGGGTTGCGACCACAGGTTGAGAACCGCTGCCCTAGACTGTCCCACAAATTCTGTTACATATACAAAGGCAATTACCCAACACAGTATGTAAGTGCCTACCACCTGTTCCAGCTGCTTTCTAGTTAAAGGAAACGGGACTTGTCTGAACATCTTGTCCTCAGAGCTCCTGGGATGAACTTTACATGGTGCCCCAGGAAGTGAAGTTCTCGGGGTCCGCCCACTCCCGTCCCCAGAGCCCACAAAGAGACAAGGCTCACCATGTCGGCCATGCCAGGCCCCAAGAGGTCACACTTCTCCCGGGTATGTTCCACCAAGGCGTGCACAAAGGTGGAGTTGGTCCTTACAGAATTCTGGATGTCGGTCACCATCTGGACGCAGTCCTGGCAAACATCCCCACCAGCCTACAGAGACGGGAAGGGGAGGCAGTCAACACTGTGCGCTCCTGTAGTCACTAAGGGGATTCAAATTCCTAGGAAAAGTGCCTCCCACGCTCGCTCCCTCAGCACTGGATGTGACTCCCTGAGCAGTGAATAACGTGTTTTCACAGGCTCTAAAATTGTTGACAGTTTTAAAATCAAATGGACACTGATTTTAGTAAAACTTAATAGGAAGGGGGGAAATGTTTGCATATTTAAAAACCCCATTTTTTAATTTAGCTTAATGTAAATATCCAGGTTCTTCAGCAACTGCATGGCACAACCATTTCCAGACTGACTGCTGCCAGAGCCCCCAGTTCAAGCAGCACACACACTCCAATCCAACCTGAAGGGCGCCCCGAGGGAGCGCTGCCTTACCTTCGGCTGGGGCTCTCTGCGGGGGCCGCCCTGAGGGTAGAGGAGGAGGGGGATGTTGGCCATGAAAGGCGCCACCATCTCCGCCATGTCCAGTTCTGGGATCTTATTGGACTCGAGCTGCTTCTGGCGATTGAGCTCTGCCAGGTGCTTCTGAAGAGACTCGCAGAGACTGAGCGCGGAGCACACCTCCTCGGGTTGGCTCTGGTGGGGAAAGAAGTCCGGCTGGAAACCCTCTCCCCAGAGGAAAAGGAAATAGTCCCCCTTCCTTCTCTTAGCTGGCCTCACGCATGCACACCCAGTTCATAGGCATCTCAGACTCAACCTCTAACCCCTCCACCTCCACCTCTATTTCAGCAATGGCCTAAGCACCTTTCTCCCTGCAGTTCAAGCCAGAAACCTGGAAGACATCCCCTCCAAAAACAAGTCTAGTCCATTCATCCTCTAAATAATATGCATCTGTCCATCTGCACTGCCCCCAGCACATCTGACGCCTGATGTTCTGCCAGCTTCCCCTCTTTCAGCTCTAATGGGTGGGATCTAGACCAAACCGTCTCAAAAAAGTACCTATACTCATGGCACCCCCTCCTGAAACCCAGGGACTTCCTGCTGCACATGGTCCCACCGTGGGACAGTGGCCTCTCAGTTTTTTTAAGCCCCCTCCTCTTTGTTAGGGTCTTTCCAAATTCCCTGCTCATCGCTGAAAACCCAACCTCTGGCACATGGTTCACACACAGCAGGTACTTATTGAATGAACACTGAGCTTCCTTGTAGCTGAACCCACAAGTAAATTCCCTGACTTACTCCTTAGGATAAAAATCACACAAATGACATGAATTGCTTGCTCAAAAGATCCCACAGGAGTTATCAAATCAGCACCTACAAATGTATGCCAATTTAGCCCCTTCAGTAATCCTGTAAGTCCCCATTTCTGTACCCTACCCAACCCTGAAAGTTACAGGCAGAGTGTTCTGCCGTGCCAGAGGCATTCTGGATGTTAGAACTGTAGTCAAGAGCCTGAGAAAGCCCACAAGTATGAATGGACTTGCCCTTTTAATCCCTCTCTCCTGGTCTGGCACTTCCCTGGACCCCAGCACTGCCCTGAAGGAAGACCTATTCCCCAGCACGTACCATCTGTCCTTTAATCATGTCCAGGATGACTGGGAGGTAGGTGTCCACCATCTCCTTGCATGAGGCCGACATGTCCGGCTTAGGAAGCCAGTCGCAGGTCTTCTCCAAGTACACGAGGATCTCTTGCTAGAGGACACAAGCAAGGGGCAGGTCAGCATGCACTTTTCTACAAACGGGCCGAGAGCAAGAGGCCCTCACAGCTCCCAGAAGAGTGACGGCTGAAAGCAGCCACCCTCAGGGAAGGGGACCTGGGAGCCGGCTGAGTGGGAGCCGTGGCTCGTCACGTCAATGGGGCAAGAGCAGATCCTCCAACAGCAGTCTCATAGGCACAGGGAGCAGAGACAGCCAGAGGGACCCGAAGGTTAACAGCATGTGCCACAGAATCCCAATGGACTTGGCACTGAGCACCTGGGGTCGGGGAGCAAGCTGGGGCCCACGGCCTGTCCTTGTGCAGCCTGTGGCTAAGGATGGTTTTTACATTTTTCAAAAATGGGGGGGGGGGGGCCACCGCGAGCGGAAGAACTAGGACAGAAGCAGTACGTGGCCCACAGGACTCAATTATATCCTACCTGGACCCAGACCATTCCTTGTTTCCTCGTTAGACACACACCCCACACCCCCAACCCCCGTCTCCTCCCAAGTCACAGCTTTTAAGGGACTGATCATGTGGCCACAACTCAGTCACACACACTGAGGGTCCCACCACTCAGTCACACACACGTGTGGCGTTTACCTCAGTGGCATTCTCTTTCAACATGTTGTCAGCTGCGGTGATGACATCTTTGCACACGTCACAGGGAAGGGATTTCTAAGAGAAAAGAACACGAGGGAGAGATCTGTATTTGTAGGACGTAACTCGCACCACACACAGCTGAAAACCCCAGGGACGTGACCATGGCCACATCTGACACAGGCACAGCCTGGTTCCCAACCTAAACAGGAAGCACTCGGACACCAGGGAGGAAGGATTAGGTGTGGCTGACCAGAACACTGCTTCTACCAGGCAGACACCCTTTTCTCGAACCCTCTACCCCTCAGCACCTTACTCAGTACACACAGTACAAGCCAAATTTCCTCTTACTGCTCACAACAGCTCTGTGAGGAAACAGGCGCAGAAAGGTGAAAATCAGAGCAGCAGGAACCAGAGAAAATCAGGAAGGCAAAGCGACATCACGGGCCAGTACCAGCACCACAGAGTTACAGGGGCGGGCAGCAAAGCAAGCCCCAGCCAGACACTGTGCGTCTGCGCACCCGCCCTGGCGCTGCTACCTGCACTCCGTCTGCCTTCGTCTTCCTGGTCAGTGCTGCGTTTGCGTGGAAGCTGTCACCACTCCAGAGCTTAGGGACAGGACAAGTCTTCTGACAAGCCTAGGCATCCAGGGCCCGCATGGCCCAGGACTCTGGGAAATCTGACTGGTTCTCAAAGTTCTTGGGGAGCTCCCTATTTGATATCAACTACACTGAGTGGCCAGATTATTATGACCACCCCATCAGTACTTCGTTGGGCCACCTTTTGCCTTTAATACTGTGGCGATTCTTCTTGGCATTGACTCCTCGAGATGTGGAAAGGTGATGCGCGGAATCTGACACCATGCCTGATGAATAGCACTGTCCAGTTCTGTGAGATTTGATGGTGTGGAACCAGCTGCCTGATGGCTCTTTTAACTTCGTCCCACAAACGCTCAATTGGATTGAGATCTGGTGATTGTGGGGGCCACCTAAGCAAGGTAAAGTCTCCCTCATGTTCTTGAACCCACTCCTGCACAATACGAGCACCGTGGCATGGCGCATTGTCTTGTTTGAAGAAGCCATCTCCCTTGGGATACGCCATCAACATGAGAGGATGAACTTGAACAGCAACGATACTTAGGTATGTTGTGCTATTCAGACGTTTATAATGATCTGGCCTTCAGCGCGAAATTATAGCTAATTTGCCTACAAATGTCAGGTGGTCATAATAATCTGGCCACTCAGTGTATTTTCGACCCAGGAAGAAGGAACTGACACGTCTGGGTGAGACTGGGGAATACCTGTGAACTTAGCTGCATTCAGAGAAACCAACTGGAACCTTTGGACCTGGCCAGGCTAATCATGTGCATGGGGCCAGGCATCGTTCACGACACTGTCCATCAAAAGAGAAGGATCTAAAGTCCTCGCCTGACACAATTAAACTTGGAAAGTGAAAGCAGTATTAAAAACAAGATCAGAAGCAAATTAGAGACCAAATCTGAAAGTAACTGGCCACGAGGGCAGTTATCCAGTGAATTCAGAAAATATTTCGTCAAGAGCGGTGTTAAATATTTTTCTCTGAGTTCTATGGGCCACTGACGAGTTTTAGAACTTGAACTCCACTCAGTCAAACCTGGCCTGCACCACAAGGTACATCCCAGAGAGAGCCAAGAGCACCTGCTGCTGGTGCAGCCAGCAAAGCTTGGTGCCTCCCGGGAAGGTTCGGGTCACGTGAAGAACACACTTGAGGTTTGTCATCTGAGAGTATTCCCCCATGTGTGCTAAGAGCCCACATGAGTATGCTATATTTAACATCGTTTGGATGGAAAAAGGTGGTTTGATTATAGCTGGAAATAAAATCTTAAATATCTACTAAAGTTCTAGGGTCTGAACCAGTGACCCAAACAGAAAGCTATGACAGGCAGAGAAAGAAAACACCAAAAAGGTCTGAAAAGCTTATGAGCATCTCGATTTTGAGTGAGTGACCAAGAACGAAAGCCATCCTCGTGTGCCCAGTTCTGGAAATGGGGGCCGTGAACCTGCTGGTCCCTATCTGGGTGGCGAGGTGGGTCCTGCACAGAGGCCTGGAGGGCAGCAAGGAACACAGAGCGTGGGCATGGGAGGACCTCGTCCACCTCCATCACCAAGAGACTGGGTGACCTGGGGGGAAGGAAACCTGAACCTCTCCAGCCTCCATTCCCTCTGTGACAATGGTACACGCACCTACAGGTCCTGCCTCCCTCGCAGGGTCACCGTGAGGGGCACACAAAATGAGGCAAGAGAAAGTGCTTTGCAAATGGCAGTGGTTACAGACGCCACAAAGGGATGCAGCACATCATTAAGGGCACTCACCACTGTCGGCTTGTTCCAGACGGTCTGCAGGCAGTGCTTCACGGCCCCGCAGTCGGCTGCCGTCTTCACGTTCTGGCACCACACTGCTGAGCCTCTGGTGCATTCTTTCAGGCCCAGGACAGGGCTGGCTGCAGCTGAAAGGAAAACCATTAAAAAATAAGCAAATAAATAAATAAAAGGAAAACCACGGTGAGGAGGTGGCTCGTTGCCCACACAGGTCCACCGCACTGGCTTACCCAGGGTTAAGGGTTAGCTAGTCCTGGCATTTAGCTGGACGCCAGCTTGGCCACTCGCCCAGCTACACGAAACGCCAACCAGAGGCACCACACCCAGACAAGGAGTTGTGCTGTCATATAAGTCACAGGCTGGAAGGGACTAATATATCTGGTTCATTTTTTTCCTCTCAAACTATTTTTAAGCCATAACTAGCGAGTATCAGATCTTTTAGTCTTTAGAACCTTAAATAAACATTTCATGATGCAATGAAAGAAATCACGAGACTGACATGTAAATATAGATTTTTAACTTCTGTAGAATGAAAATTAGCCAAAGTGTTTGTTTTTAATCTATAGGGAAAAACACCAAGATTCAGATCCTTATTGCACAGAAAAATGATTCTTAATGTTCTAATACAAAAAGCTCTTTACAAACCTAATTGCATGAGTTTTTGCTTTTGCACATAAACAAGTTTACTGGCAAAAAAGCCAGACCACATATCAAAGTGAACGTGTCCACTCAGAGCCAGGTGCACGGCGTTTCCTCTACTTCGATAATGAGAAAAGGACTTGGGCAGGAATCACGTGCACAGAAATGGGATTAGGAAACAAAGGTTCAATATCACTAGAGAAATGCAGATTAAAGGTGCCATATTTTTGCATTCTTATAACACTGATAGCAATGTAACGGGTTTTGTTTGTTTTCATTTATTGATTTGAGAGAGAGACAGAGAAGAAGGAGAGAGAGGAGGAGGAAAGGAAAGAGAAACACTGATTTGTTGTCCCACTTATTTATGCATTCACTGGCTGTGCCCTGACTGGGATCGAACCTGCAACCTTGGTGTATTAGGACAAAGCTTTAACCAACTGAACTACCTGGTCAGGGCCTCGTATTTCTTACTATACTAATGTATTTCAAGAAAGGAAAAAATAACCCTCTTTGAAGGTGTGGGAGGGTGGGAGGGAGGTTATCAACCAAGGACCTGGTGTGCATATATGCATAACCCTTGGACACAGACAATGGGGCAGCGAAGGCCTGGGGCTGGAGGGGATCAATGGGGGAATAAAGGGAACATATGTAATACTTTCAACAATGAAGAATTATTTTTTTTTAAATTGTCCCAGGGAAGAAAAACAAAAAAGTCCCTCTTCAAAAAGTAATCCACTTCTGCTGGGTACAGGAGGACAAAGGATGGAAAAATGGGGGACATCTGTAATACTGTCAATGAAAACTAATTTTTTTTTTTAAGTAATCCACTTCTAGCCCTAGCTGGTTTGGCTCAGTGGATAGAGCATAGGCTGTAGACTGAAGGGTCCCGGGTTCGATTCCGGTCAAGAGCATATGCCCAGGTGCAGGCTCGATCCCCAGTGTGGGGCATGCAGGAGATAGAAATCAGAAAAGAACAAAGCAGGGTGGTTAGCTGAATTATTAAACTCCCAATGTTATGTTATGTATGAATGTATAATTTTCAAAAAAATATTTTATAAACTACCTTAAGAGTTCCTATTGTTAAGAGGTCTATGGTATCCTTGATTGTGAAACTGAAAATGAGAAAACCTTACTAGGAAACAACAGTTTACATCAGCTACATGGAGAGGGACCACTGTACAGGGGCAAACTCCAGCAGACAGCACCGTGGTTTCCTACTGTCAGAGAAGACAACCACAGCCACCTAAAAAATAGATTTACCGCCTCAGGAGTCACGCACAGGTTGCACGCCGAGAGGGCACGGGGATTCTAGACACACCGGTGCGCGCACACAGTACACAACACAGGGTAGGTCAGCAGGTGCTCCCTTCAGGAGAGGGAGGGAAGGGACTGAAATGCTACTATTACTAGCTGTTCAACCAGAGCTGGTTCCACAAACCACTCACACACAGACTGTCACGGGTCCCGCATAAAGCTCAAGCCAAGTTATCTGCATTCACCCTTTCAGAGACCAGGAAATGCATTATTCATGTGCTGCCCGGGTTACAGCCTTCTCTGCTCCTTGGGAGGCAAAATCACCACCACAACCAATTCACAAACTCAACTAGCCACATTCCAAAGGCTGGTGGTTTGAAATTTGGTTTCCATGGGAAAACATGTGCCAGATTCAAACAGTACTAAGCTCCCAGAAGCCCAGGAAAGCTGAGTGAGCCAGTGATGCAGTGGCGGACAGCAGATGTGACTTCCTAAGACGACCCAATGCACAGACACACACAGAGATAACTGCGTGTCCTCAGGATCGGTAATACGAGGCTGAAACACAAGCCTGGTGACACCAGTGAGCTACCTCAGGTGCTCATTTTGGGAGCTGATCTGAGAGGGAAGCAAACAGCATATCAGAATATGGGGGGACACATCCCCAGAAAATTTATTTTAATATATTTTTATAGAAAGGGAGAGGGAGAAATAGAAATATCAATGATGAGAGAGAATCATTGATCAGCTGCCGCCTGCCTCCTGCCCCCCACTGGGGATCAAGCCTACAACCCAGGCATGTGCCCTGACCGGGAATCGAACTGTGATCTACTGATTCATAGGGTGACGCTCAACCACTGAGCCACACTGGCTGGGTCCCGGAAAATTTATTTATACACAAAATCCTCACCAATTCAGGGGGCTCTCAGGCACCACAACCCCAGCTGTGCACTGGAAGCTCTGGAGACAAGCATGGTTGTTCTCCACAGAAGTGGGAAAGCAACTGGGATGAAGTGGATTACCAACTGCACTCACTGGGCCAAGTTCAGACCTTCCAGGCGGGACACCAAATTAAACAGATGTGCGCTCTTTGACCCCGCAGTGGGAAGGACAAACCTAAAGCAAAACAGAAAAGCAGGGGGCCGCATACACAAAGCAGCAAAGACACTACCTGCCTAGGGGAGCTAGAGGTGGCTTCTTTGAAATAAGTTTGAACTGGCACCTAAAAGATGGAGACATCAAAGACTGGCTAAGTGGAGAGGGCACAGGGGAAACTGCTGAGCATTCCCAGGCAGAGCAGTTCTCCTTGTCAAAGGGGAAGAATTCTCCTGTGTCTTTTCAAGAGTGGGGCAAAGGGAAGTGGCAGGGGCCAGGCTGCAAAGACAGACCTCGGGCACATGGGAAAGATCATCTGGCACACTCATCGCCGAGTGATGAGTCCATCCTGTGGGAAATAACTTCAGTGTGTGTCTTCGCAGGCGGGCATGATGGGGCATGATCGGGCAGAAGACTGAAAAGAGATTGGAGATTCCGATGAGGGGGCTCCTGACTACAATGAGAGGTCATTCCAAAATGTCCAAGCCAGAATGGTGGCCGCAAGGGCTGACAGGCTAACAAAAAATTCCAAAATACGAGAGCTGGGAAAATGAAACTCACAGGTTTCAACTGAAACATGAAGTCTCTCAGGCCAGTGGTTTTCAACTGTGTGCCACAACAAGTTTTAAAACATGCAATGCCTAACCATTCAGCCAGGGGCACTGACCTCTTTTCCCTTAGATTGTCAAATTAAAAGGTGACAACAGCCAACACAACAATAGCCTTCCATGTGAATGCCCTGTCCTGAACCATAAAGTAAATAGACTTGCATCTTATTTGTCATGTCACGTAATAAGAATGGATCTGACTGGTTAATTCTTGGTACCAGAAATCCTTATGTACAACCATGAGTTCCTAATTTTTTAAAAAGTCACTTTGAAGCAAAAAGGGTAACTAATTACTATTCTATTTTTTTGTAAATCAATCAAAATTAAACCTTTTTTTGTTAGATTGGCAAAAGTATATTTTTTGGTGTGCCACGGAATTTTAGTAATTAGCTTGTGTGTGCCATGAGATGAAAAAGGTTGAAAACTGCTGTCTTAGGCTTAGCAAGAACTAACAAACAAGGATGGAGGTGGTCAGAAGCTGCGCTGCCCTAATCAACGTGCGTGGAGGGCAGGGCACAGGCCACGGGAAGGGCAGAACACAGCTGTGTACTTTGCTTCCCGTGAAATGGCGACAAGTACAGCGGTCGGAACGTGAAGGCACATGACACCACTCCTGAGCTCCTTGGAAGACTGGAAGTGTTTAGCTGGGAGAATGTTCTGGAGGTACACAGTCACTTTCAAAGGTGTAGACACCTACTTACCACATGAGAGCAGATCTGTTCTGTGTGGTCTCAGACCCCAGACCTCAGAGCAATGAGCAATGAGCAGAGGTTAGGGAAGCAGACCACAGTGTAAGGTAAGGAACACACATAACATCCTCAGGAATATAAAAAGGGAATGGCTTCCCCCATTAAGTGATGAGCTCTCCAACAGCAGAAGCAACCAAGCAAAACAAAATGCCCAACCCATGAGGAATTAATTCTGTGTAAGAGGGATCCTGAGTGGCAAGCGAGGTCAGAAGACCTCACACGGGCTACAAGTCTTAATTCTTAAATAGCGAGGCAAAGGACATTTCCAGGATGAATACATACCAAATATATAAAAACTACCTAAACCACGTTCTGCGGAGTAATTTCTCAAAACGCTGCCAGCAGAGGTTTCATCTCTTTCTCCCCCTCCCACATTCTGCCCCCAGATACCAACTTCCTTCTCTGAGGTAAGATGCTGAACTCTAAGAAAGTTCTTAGAATGTCTGCCTTACCCCTGGGGGCTTCTGATTAAATGTGTCCTGTTACGACATGCACACTACTCAGTGAATCAAGCACTCTGCTTCTCAGTTGAAAGGCCTGGCATCCGGGCCCTCAGTGGCAAAACTCTGACAGGCTGAGATGAGAGAACATAGCATTTCAGAGATCTGAAACCCTACAGCAAGTTTCGGGCTATTAAGACGGGCTTTTAAAAGACTTCACTTGTATTTCCCTGGGGAAGGGGTGGGTGCTTGGTTCCCTTTTTACTCTCCAGGCCTAGAAGAAAATAAACCATTCATTCCACAGGCAGGTCACTTATCCAACACAGATTACAATGGAATTTTC